CAACTGATTATTATGCAGCAATAATGCTGAGGAGTTGTCTGTCACAGATTAGAGCCTATGGTACTTAGAGCTTTGCAAACATGGAATAGGGTGGATTTCTCTCCCCAAAAGAGGTTTGTGATCAACGAACTTAGTCATGCTCTCTGGTAGCTTTAAATGTAAGATGCTTGTTCCTCTGTTGTCCTACAGCCGCAGCAGTGAACTACAGTGTTAGAGCAGAAGGGACACCTCTGCTGCACTTGCACGTCAGCTACATTCACTGCAGGTTGTGAGTCAGAACTCATGAGAAGGAGGACAGTGTCAGTTTTTAGGAGCTGACAGAGACAGTTTGTCATATTGATGTTGCTAATGCATTTGTTTCAAATTTGAGAGCGTTTTTATATGCCCTGACCAAAAGGTTTTGGGTTTGTTTTGGTTTTCTCTATATAATCTGTAAATATCCATGAAAAGCAGGAAAGTCTAATCTGATTGTTAGATGAACAATCTGAAAAAATAAAAGATCTGAGCTAAGTATGAGGACAAGGCCTCCTAGTGCTTAAGAAATAGGTAAGAATTAACATGAAGTGTGACATGAGTTACAGTATTAAGCAGAATGAAGGAGGCAAAATTACGTTTGTGTCTTCTGTTTGCATGTTACAAAATACCTCAAATACACCATTTTTATTCTGAACTGGGCAGTTTTAATTCCAGTGGAAAACCTTGTGCAGAACACTAACACTGAGCATTTCTTAAGTCTTTCAGAGTTTCCTTTTGCCACGTTGGTACATGCATGTAGCTTCCATTGCTTTCACCATTCATAGAGGTACCCAGGACCTAATTAGAGTTTATATCTTTCAGTACAACAGATACAGTTTTGCTGTGAGGGTGGGCAGGAAGGGAGGTTTGGTTTTGCTTTTTAAGCCAGCTGGCAATTACTGTCTACAGCTTGTGTTAAAACACCAGATACATTCAAAGATTATTCATAAAAGCCACCTGCAAATTTTCTGCAGTTTCCCTTTTTCCTTTTCTTACCTTTGTACGCCAGTCGTGAGTGTACTTTTCTTGAAAGGTGTCTGCAGAGTTCTTCTCTTCGTTCTGCTGAAAGATAAATGTGAAGATGAACAATTTTGGTAGTTGTATTGTGCACAATCATCTGTATTTTGTTTGGTTTTATTTAAACTTCCTTAATACAACATTTAACTCAGTTGGATCTTAGATCAGTAGCCACGTTATCACTACGACAAACTGCTTCTGATTGTCACCAATTTAGTCTTTTTTTTATACAGCCTGCATAAGATGACGTATTTTCTCTTGCTTTCTCCTTTCCATATTTGTGTCTTTTTTGCAGTTCGTAGTTTTTCCCTCCCTTCCCTTTTTGCAGGTTGAGTGAATTACTTGCTGATTTCTACTATGTTGACTGGAGAGAAGACAAGGTGTTCCTTGTTTTTTAAGCAGAAATTTACATAAATGTAGTCATGTTTTTGACGAAAAGATAATTTATTCAGAACTTTTCAGAAATTCCAGAATATTCAGAAATTTTCCACCTGTGGAAACTCGTAAGACAATTTTTTAACAGACATAAATGCAGTGACTAAGTTTTCTCTTGAAAATGGTTTACTTTTGTGATTTAAAGTCCTTTTCTTCCTCAAATATGTTTTTCTTTTATGCTTTTCCCCCCAAAACTACACGGCAGTTTTTCAGCTCAGGGTTAAAAGGGAAAGTTGTTTCTGGTAGACTGATGTTATGAAGTCATATGACATTTTTCATCACTATTTGTTTGCCTCGGTGTCCTTAATCAAAGTAGGCCTTTTCTTTTCTATTTTATGCTTATGGGTTATGAACTTTCCTTTGCATTCTCAAAATTAAAGATCTTATAAAGTATTATCATCATGCACACAACCACAGACTATGTGTTCTGCATCATAAGTGTTATGTGATAATGAAAATGCTGTCTTACCCTTATTTGGTTTAGACTGCCCCATTATTCACGTGCTTACCCAGCAAATTATTTTCATAACTCCTCTTACCTGAATATTTGTACTGTCCTTAATTTTTTTTTTAAATCGAATCTCTATGCCAAATAAAATTTGGTTGAAAGTCAGCAAATCCAACCGAGAAAACCCATCTAGTAAACATCAGCTTCAGGAACTGAATTAAATTTCTACTTGTTCAAACTATATAAAGACTTGCGAACTTTCAGGAAAATTTTGTTTGTGGTTTAATAACTGAAACACAACCATTGAGGGCAGTATGGCTTTTATGTATGTTTAGAGAGTCACTGATGTGGTCTTAGTTCCTTCCATCCTTGGCTTTGTCATTCTGCAGGTGTGACTGTGCAGTCTGTGTGTTGATTTTGGCAGAAACAACTTTGTGGAGTTTCCGGTGTACATGTTTTCTAATGTAGTGTAAGTTTGTTCTTGTTGATTTAATGTTATCCAAACTATTTTAGGCTGTTGACTCCTGCCTTATTGTTGGTATGTGCCAACACTGTAACAGATCCTGCTTAGAGATTAGTAATGCTGAAACAACAGTCATAATGAAAAGAGAGAGGTCCCTCCACAGCAGGAGTAGGAACTTGCTAGTTCCTTTTGAACAGAAAACACAAATTCAACAAATTCTTCCCCCTCCCTGGGCAGAAGGAGTGGACTTATCAATGAAGGGCACTGCACATGGGCTAATGTGCAGCCTTGTTCCATTGAAGGCTGATGCATTTTTTTCCTTCTCCTGGCTAATTGACAGTGCCAAGTAAATACTTATTGTACAAGAGCAAACTTCTTTCTGGTTCATGAGAGAGCAATCATAGAAAAATACATTTTAGACTGTATCTGTTCTTTCCTTCTATCTTCCTATTTTTTCTCTGTCTCATTCTTCAGGTCTAGCTTGAGGTAGTGGAAAGAATATAATGTATGCCCTAGCGACTGCTGGAAAATAGGTTGAGTTAATTTGCATTGGTAACACATTCC